CCGCGGGGTTTCGTCTTGGTCCCCACTACTGGACTCATCAGTAAGGCAATGTAGTGGGACCTGCCTTAGACGCCCGAGAAAATATTAGATCGAGGTCTTATTTAAACGGAATTCGTGTAACTGGGGTGCTTACGAGAATCCGCGTGAGACTCGTGAGACCTCTAGTGGCGAGTCGCCACAACAATAATCAAAATAATTATGAATAGAAGATATAGGGATGTTTCGTTCAAAATGATGGCCTTCAGTCTTGAGACAATAGCTTTATGAATTTTTATATATTTTTATGTATATAGAACCAGTGCCTCCTCCACCAGTTAAGGAAGAACCTGAAAAGATTAAAAAGTGGAGGGAAGAACAAAAAGCACGTCTTGAAGAAAAAGGTAACGCAATTTTATTATAAAAATATTTTAGAGGAACAGTATGATTAATAAGTGTGTAAATTTTTTAGATACAGAAGAGGAAAAAAAGAAGGAGGAATGGAGAGAAGCTGCAAAGAAAGAATTAGAAGAATGGTATAAACATCATGCAGAAGCTATTAATAAAACGAAGACTACTAACAGGTAATTTCACTAATCTTTTATATTCTTTCTTGTTATACATCTTTATTTCGTAAAAAATTGACAATCTAAAAACTAAATTATCTGAATTAAAGTAACTGAACTAAATTGTGATGACTAATTAGAATATTTTATGACTGTCTATTAAACATTTAACAAGGCTTATACCCCTAATAACAATATAATATTTACATTTAAAAAAATGGCGTAAATATTGAAAATGCAAAATATTGTTAAGAAATATAATAAATGTTGGACTAAATTATTATATCATTTGACTTATAATTAGTCAAATACAAATAATATGGATAATTAGTCCATTATTATGCTATGTATAGATTTTTGAAGTTTTTAATTGTTATTTCCATTTCGCTTCTTAGGGAGTCAGCCAAGTAAGTTAAAATATCTTTATATGCATGAAAATATACATTGCATTACAATTTATGTGTTATTGTAACACAATTTGCTTCGCAAACTCTGAGACTAGGGCTGTGTTCACTTTTGGTGCTCACTCGTTGTAAGCTTTATTCTATTTTTCTTATTCATTACATGCAGAGGGATAGAATAAAGCTTACAGCAAGTGAATGCCCAAAACAAACATAGCACCAGTCTCATAATATCCAAACTGAATGCAACCTATATCGCCTATTGAATGTGAATCAGGTATATAAACTGCAGTTCTCTCCCTCCTCCTTCCCTATCTATCTCCTCTCTCCCTCATACACTTACCACATATCATGATATCGCTTCTTGATAAATCACTTCGAGGTAGCACTAAATGACATTGCTTAATAAGTTATATTCTCAAAAGAGTATAAATATTTTATAATATCCATAAACTGATTAATTTAAATGCACTTTATTTCTTGAATGCTGTTAATGATGAATTGCCCATATTGTCTTTCATACTAAAACTATTTCTATAAGTTGAAAGAAAGAAAAGCTTATTAATTAAGCATTATTTGCTTATGCACAATACGAATACTATAAAGAACTGTGATTGTATAACTCTTACATCAAGTCTAATAGCTACAAATTACACTTGTGTCCATAATATCGCATAATAATATCAAACTACAAATTATTTTTTTTAAATCTTTTTCTCAAGGCTCTGAGATATATTAATGAAATAGAAATATCATTTAATTTCTCATTTCTTTACATTACTAACTGATATACAATGCATGATTTGGCATTGATTTAATACATATTTCTTCACGAATAGGAATGCGGAAAAGCAATTTGTCGCCGAGGCAGATGAGGTTGAACCAGGCACTGAGTGGGAGCGCATCGCCAAGCTTTGCGAATTCAATCCAAAATCGTCCCGCACTTCCAAGGACGTTTCCAGGATGCGTTCGATCATTTTGCAATTAAAACAGACACCGCCCACTCCTATTAACGCTTGATTACATTAAACAAGTTATCGTCACAATTAAATCTTGAGAATATGATTACGATA